CTCGTCATTGAATTTCCTTGTCTTGATTCCCCACGTTTTCCTCAATAGAGTGATTATTATTTTGTATTTTCATAGTATTTCTGTCCTCGATCAGAGTGATTATTGTTTGTTTCTTTTTTAGCCTTTACTATCATCATATGAGGGATCATTTCTTTGTACTTTCTTCGTTTTGTTATTCCTTGTTAGATAGATTATTATTTTCATCGCCTTGTGATTCCACTCCCAGAGAGGGCGACCTTTGTTTGATAAAGTCCTCGTATTTGCCAAGCTCTGCTCCTGAGTCCTGTTTTGAGCCCATTCTGACACTGTCATATTGTCTATGTGAATGTTAAAGCCCCTGGTCAAGATCATAGTTGTAATGCAGAAAATTCATCACTTATACCTGCCCAGTATCCTGGGAATCTGTACATTTTAGGTACACCCTTCAAAAGAAAACCAAGATATTCTAAATAAGTCGGATCAACAAATGAGACTTCTCTACACTGGAATGTATCTTTGAAAAAGGCAGACTTCCCCATTTTCACTCCCATTTTGGCATTTATTCATAAAACTTAAACGTGGGTTTACCCTTTCATTAACCATATATTTGTCAGAAAAATAAATCTAAATTGATAAAGTCTCTGTTCACTGACTGATGTATCAGCAAGAGTATAAATTATTATAAAGTATTATATAAGTCCACAATCAGAATGGTGTCTATTCCATTTTGTGTGTAGGTGTTTATGTCTTCCATAGTTTCGGTTGTGGAATAAGGTCTTCTCTTCATATTTTGGCTAGCCCTTGGCACATTTTTACGGCCATTTACCTTGTGTTTTTTTATCTTATTCATAAAGCTAGAGCCTATTTTCCCCTCAAAAAAGATTTTGAAAGGGACAGTTTCCACCGAACAGCAATGATGTTTTGACTGATCAGCATTGCAATACAAGAAGTGGCCACAAGGAATTTTTGTATGGAAGAGTTGTGGTCTGGTGTATCCTGTGCTATGAGCATTGGTGCTATTTCCCCCCTGTATCTAAAGACTTTGAAAACTTTGAACCATGTTAACTACTTAAAAAATTCTGGGTCATTCCACTCAGTTGGAAATGTTCTAATTGCATTCTAAAATAGACTATTCAAGTAGACCCACTAAGAAAGACACAGAAAATGAAAGCAGAAGGAAACTAAATTTAATTTGAAACGTATGATTTGGGTGGAATTGGATTATATCTTTGAAGTGCCTTGAGATGATGAGATAACTGCCTAATCCTAATAAAATCCAAGCACTGCACCTAAATATACTGTTTGTTTGGATCTCCAAGCCACTGTCCCTATATATAGACATATTATACATTTACCTAACATGTAGAATGTCCATCCCAATTTCATTTATATGAGAATTTCATTATGACCAGGCAGTAACATGACCCATCCTTGACAAAAAGCTTTTCCCTGATCTGGGTTGGAATATATTGTTAAATTGGGGTTTAAAAAAGGAACCTATTTTGTTAAAGTTAGAAAGTGTTCATGGTTAGAGCCATTTTCATTGTTGCCATACAGTTATTGATTACATTGTGACAAGTCATTGTTTTTTCCAAACCTTTATTGGTTTGGTACAGCTAAAATAACGGAGAAGAATCAAACGTAAGATTGCCCTCAATATAACAAAATGCTGCCTCCTTGAAACAATATGCTGATATTTTGGGGAAAGAGAACAGAGTCTCTTCAGCTGATTGTTTGAGTCTCACAGTTGAAAAAACACACATTTTTTGTTAATTGACTGGACTGCATCTTGTGTTGATTCTACTATCTGCAGACAGACAGTTTGTCCTCAGTCATTCTTCTGTGTAAATAATTTATTAAGACATTTTTTCTCACTGCTCTACCTTGGGAGCAAATCAGGTCTCCTCTGTGAAATTGAATTACAAATGAATTCCCTTACAATCGGTTAATGTGGTTTTACCATCTCTGTTTTTCGAACTTTCACTGAATTTTTCATTCATCCCTCGATCGTCACACCTGATCTTCTAGGGTAAGATAAGACGTTAGATGATCTAAAGATTTCACTGTAATTACCTGTGGATTTGGGGATTACAGACTGGCCATCTCTCGATCAGCAAGTACTTTATCAAAGGATTATCAAGAGGCAATCAAAGAAAAGCCCATTGCCTAGAAGAGAGATAAAGACTTTATGAAAAAGCCTAAATGAAACTTCAAGGGAGAGAAAAACACAATGAATCATGATATGATAGGACACTGTAAAATGTGAATAAAAATTCAAATTAAATTGAAGTCATAAAACAATATCATATCTACAAAAGACCGTAGAATCATGGAAAAACATACACGTGAGAAAGTAATGTGACAGTAGCAGCAGCCTCAAAAAAAACAAAAAACAAAAGAAAAATCAGACAATCCCATATTTACCACTGTGTAACGTACTTAAGATGATAGCAGTCTATTAACATCTAGAAAGTGAGGGGACCAGTTACTAGACCTGTGGGACAGGAATGTTGTAAATTTCTTTCCCAACAGTAGCGAATCATCCTTGTTGTATTTAATTTGCATGAGTTGCCTGTGTTTTTCAGTTGGTTCAATTTCTATACTGCACACAGATCCACATTTGGGACACTACAGCCATGATTTGGTAAACAAGGAAACATGAATTTATTATGAGAGCACTTTTATCTATTTATTTGTACTTTTTTATATTATTTTACGTCTAGAGAGGACTGCAGTATTCCATACTCATATGTGACTTCCTCTTTTTATGGCAGAACCTTTTTATGTTCTTGAAGATAAAAATGCAAACCCTTGAAGTACTTTCAATTCTCTACAGTGATTTAAAATGACAGAATCCTGCCTGGTTCTAGTCATTTGGTTCTGGTTCTAGTACGGTTTCCGAATTAAAGAGTTCCACGTAAAACACTGAGATACCCTCAAAATGTATTAAAATGAAGAATACAAAAAAAAGGAGAGAAAAAACGTATGTGTCAAATTTAAAGCTATTGTCCTTTACCACTAATATTAAACAAACGTCTAAATGGCATGGTGCTGTCATGGTGGTCCGTCTTTCCTCTCCTATTAAACCCCAGCTCTTCAAGGCAGATGGTCAAACTCCCCTAGTCTGGTTCTGTACAAGGTTTTTATCCCCAAAGAGGCCTTGTGCAGGCTTAGGAAGGGGATTGCATCAGAGTTTAGCTTCTACGCAAAATGTTGGTTTCCTTAGCTAAGAAGCTTTTCTGTAATTGTCTCTGTATTCATTGGGTTGCAGTGAAGTGTATCTTAGAGGTATGTAGAGATTATTTTTATATGCTTTAGTGCAATATAAATAAAATGAATGCAATAAAAATAACAATTAAAATCAACAATTGAACAGGACCAAAAGGCATTCGCTATGGAGATTGTGCTATCAGTGGATGAAAATGGGTAATGTTCAACCGCTAACAGGTGGTGATACATACATACCAAAGGCAGACATATGGAGATAAAAATAGACTGGTCCTTCTATGATTTGTCAACCATAACACTTTTGTGTGTAAATGTTGGTGGTTTAATGTCCAAATCAGTAATAATGAATTATAGGTCAAATTTAAAAACAAGCAACCATTGGGAAGTTTTTTAAAAGAAAACGTTCCATCCAAAAACAACATGGTCACAACCCCACTGCAACCCCAGTGCACCCGAGGCATCTTTTATGTATATGACATGCAGTATATACAGTTCCACCACTGATCTGACTACAGAGCATGCATCAGCCATTGCTAGTGAGTCAGAAATTTGGGACACATTTAGTAAATGTTTGGGGGGGCGAGTGACAAGCCAAACAGCCTCACCACGTACTCGTTAGCTTTGCCCTTGAAAGTGAACCTTAGAAACTGCCTGTGGTCTGGGTGAATCACTACATGAAAGTAAGTGTCTGTCAGATCCTAAGAGTAGGCTTAAGACTTTCCTTTATGATAAAGCTTATAGTTAGGGTAAGTCCACTCCTAGTTATGCTGCTATAGGCCTAGACTGCCGGGGATTTCCCATGATGCACCAAGCTCCCCTCTCCTCATTCCATTAACGATGTTACTAACTGGACTCTCTCCCTTCCCCGTAGTCGTGTGCTTTCTCGTCCCCCTCCTCTCTCCTCTCTCCTCCTATCACTGTTTGCAGATGTTCCTGGCTCTGGAGCTGTGGGGTCTGGATCTGTGGTTGGGAGTCTCCTCCTGTCACTTCCTGAAGGTGTTCCTAGAGCTGTGGAAGCTGGATCTGTGATTGGGAGTTTCCTGCTGTCCCCGTGTTCCTACTTTGCTACAATTACAGACACTGTTCGTAGTCTTATTGCTATTATTACTGCTATCATTATCACTGCTGTCATTATCATTAGTCTCAATATCATTGCTATTTTTCATCCAGTATAGGTGTTACTGTGTTGGCTGCCTCTCTCTCCTCCCTCTGTCCTTCTCTCGCCCTCTCTCTCTTGCCGTCTCTTTCTCTCACCCCCAACCGGCCGAGGCAGATGGACCCCCACCCTGAGCCGTGGTTCTGCTCGAGGTTTCAGCCTGTTAAAAGGAAGTTTTTCCTTGCCTGTGTCGCTTAGTGCTTGCTC